ATTGAAGACTCAAGAACAGATGTTGTCGTTATACGAAACATTTTTGAATGGCTGCAGTCCGAATTTTCCGTTGATTGAAGAATGGTGGATTATTTGTTTATTACATCTTTTAATACAGTGATTCAATAAATAAATGTTTTTGAACAGTCATTATTTCATTTAGAATTTTGCCTGCAAATAATTGGAATTTCTAAAAAAAAAAATCTTTGTAAATACATACTCTTTATATTGTTGTACATTTTCCCAAAATATTCATTAATTTAAGTTGGGTAAATTTTAGGTTTTGGACGTCCACAACTGNAGGGGGAGCGCGGGGGGGGGGTAAACAATAGCAAAAAAATGGTGGACGTCTTTTATGGATGGCCCCTTATGGCACTGACTAAAAGAAAATTCCGACAACCTCTGCGACGATACGCTTGTTGACAAGCTGCGTCGCCTTCTTTTTGTTTCGTTTGGATTCACCAAATGCATGGAGTCGGGGGGGATTAACTGACTGGGAGGTGGGGGACCAGCTCACTATCCATATAAACAATCCAGGGCCTTGTGATTTCGTCCAGTAAACACCACCCAATATATAGACAGACCTACGCAAATTTTAAATGTACTTGTCCCTGGGTTATGGTCTGTAGTGTAAGCGACGACTGGTCAGAAATTATAAATAGCACAAAAGTGACTTTCAATATAAATAAAGGGACACACTAAAATGTTGGTTTAGTTGACAGGAATCAAATAAATGTTAGTTTAGTATAACTTTAGTTAATAAGAATATATTTTTATAGTTGATGTTTTTATGAATCAAAAGTTAAAATTGTTATAGTTGATGTTGTAATGAATCAAAAGTTGTTATAGTTGATGTTGTTATGAATCAAAATTTGTCATAGTTGATGTTGTTATGAATCAAAAGTTGTCATAGTTGATGTTGTTATGAATCAAACGTTGTTATAGTTGATGTTGTTGGAAATCAAATTTTGGTTTACTTGACGTTGATATAAATCAATGTTGATCGAGTCACCCAGTGACGTGCTACTCTGCAGTCATCACCCAGTGACTTGCTACTCTGCAGTCATCACCCAGTGACGTGCTACTCTCAAGTCAGCACCCAGTGACGTGCTACTCTGCAGTCATCACCCAGTGACTGCTACTTTGCAGTCATCGCCCAGTGACTTGCTACTCTGCAGTCATCACCCAGTGACGTGCTATGACTGTGACGTGCTACTCTACAGTCATCACCCAGTGACTTGCTACTCAGCAGTCATTATCAAGTGCCTGCGGCTATACTATACAGTCAGCACCTAGTGCATAGCTAGACTATACAGTCAGCACCTAGTGCATAGCTAGACTATACAGTCAGCACCCAGTGCATTGCTAGACTATACAGTCAGCACCCAATGCATTGCTATACTATACAGTCAGCACCCAGTGCATTGCTATACTACACAGTCAGCACCCAGTGCATTGCTAGACTATACAGTCAGCACCCAATGCATTGCTATACTATACAGTCAGCACCCAGTGCATTGCTATACTACACAGTCAGCACCCAGTGCATTGCTAGACTATACAGTCAGCACCCAATGCATTGCTATACTATACAGTCAGCACCCAGTGCATTGCTATACTACACAGTCAGCACCCAGTGCATTGCTAGACTATACAGTCGGCACCCAGTGCATTGCTAGACTATACAGTCGGCACCCAATGCATTGCTTTACTATACAGTCAGCACACAGTGCATTGCTATACTACACAGTCAGCACCCAGTGCATTGCTAGACTATACAGTCAGCACCCAATGCATTGCTTTACTATACAGTCAGCACCCAGTGCATTGCTATACTACACAGTCAGCACCCAGTGCATTGCTAGACTATACAGTCAGCACCCAGTGCATTGCTATACTACACAGTCAGCACCCAATGCATTGCTAGACTATACAGTCAGCACCCAGTGTATTGCTAGACTATACAGTCAGCACCCAGTGTATTGCTAGACTATACAGTCAGCACCCAGTGCATTGCTATATTATACAGTCAGCACCCAATGCATTGCTAGACTATACAGTCAGCACCCAGTGCATTGCTAGACTATACAGTAAGCACCCAATGCATTGCTATACTATACAGTCAGCACTCAGTGCATTGCTATATTATACAGTAAGCACCCAGTGCATTGCTAGACTAAACAGTCAGCACCCAGTGCATTGCTAAACTATACAGTCAGCACCCAGTGCATTGCTAGACTATACAGTCAGCATTGCTAGACTATGCAGTCAGCATCCAATGCATTGCTATATTATACAGTCAGCACCCAATACATTGCTATACTACACAGTCAGCACACAGTGACTTATATACTGTACGCAGTCATCCCCCAGTGCCTTGCTATCCTGTATAGTTATCACCCAGTGCCTTGCTTTACCATACATTCATCACCCAGTGCCTTGTCCACGCCATCCCGGCCAATTAGATTTAGTGAGGCAACAGACCAGCCTTGATTGAAAGCACTCAAATCATCGCACTGGCCGTCGAAAAGTTGTTCTTTCCCTTTCACCCCTCTCCCGCTGACCATCGCACAATCAATAACACCGATATCAACAATGGTGACGACGAGGGGAGACCTTGAAAGAGTCATTTCTGGTTACTTCTTTCCATTGTGGATTTTCACATATCTGATCCCTTCAGACATCTGGTCATTGTGTGATTCATCAGGTGTACTGTCGAACATAATTTCAAAATACCTGGCAGCCTTTAGATCCATGCTAAGAATCCCTACAGATGGTTTGTAAGGACATTTATCAATTGAGATGTACTCCTCTTTAGTCTCATGAGGTGCTCTTTAAGCAGTGGGTTTTTTTAGATAGCATCTCAACTATTACAAGAAACTTTCCTCTATTCAATGAAGATTCATCTTCGTTGTGGCCACGAAATGCCAGATTTTGTTTTGCAAGAAATAATATTATGGTATCCAGCAAACTGTACAGGATATCCCGCCATCTTTTCTTCTCCCTGTCCATCACAACAATACTTTAGGCATCACTTGTTTGGGGTAGCCTAAGTACAGCTGCCAATGCTTTCCATTTTTCAAGGCAACATAGGTGCCATGGGCGCCCGCAGGTAGGGGCAAGGTGGGGCACTTGCCACCCCCCCCCCCTGGATTGATTGGATAAAATTTTTTAGACAAAAAATTTATTAAAGTAAAGAGAAAATAAAGAGAAAGTAACTAAGCTGATGTTCTGTCCGTTCGTTCACCATAAAAATACGCTACAGTAAATTAAAACTACATTAAAACATTACTAAAATTCCCCACCCCCCTGGCTAGTTAATCAATTCGTTTCACACTTCCCCCCCCCACGAAAGTTTTCTGCGGGCGCCAATGATAGGTGTTCTTCCGATGCCTCGTGATAATGTAAATTTTGGCACGCATTTGGATTGATTACATGTGTGGAAATTGTACGTGTAATCGGTTATCCTTTTATGAAATTAGGAGAGACCGAATAGAGTCCGAATAGAGTCCGAATAGAGTCCGAATAGAGTGAGCTCTGTAAATTTTCCGTCGCCTATTTTTTTTTCAAAACAATTCTGGATACGGATGTCTTTGGCTAATTATCCTTCAACTTTCCATCAGTCCTGATTTTTTATTTAGAAAAGTGTTATCATTTGGCATTATTTTTTCAATATTGCAATCCTTTCGACACAATTAAAACATTTTACTTTTAATCAGTGGCGTAGCTAGGGATAGTACCACCCGGGGCGGGCAAAATTTTTGACGCCTTCCCTAAGAATCATACTATGCAGTTGGCCGAAAATGCCGCCCCCCTGGGTAAAGAAAAGAGTGACGCCCGGGACGGACAGCCCCCTCCGCCCCACCCTTCCTACGCCAGTGCCTGTATTGTATGTACACAGAAACTTGTGTACCTTAGTTTAAACTTATTAATTAAATTATGAAGTCTTTGTAGGTAAGTAAGTTTTATTAGGCCTAATTGAGTATATCATTTTGAATTTAGTATACGCTATGTAACACCAGTGCCGTACAGAATGCACACTACGTAAAGATAAACAATGAAACCTAGTCATAAAAACACACAACATCTCCTCCACACTATAGTTATTTGTCCCCAATGGACCAAGCTTTTTAAACCTTGGGTTGGGCTTGGGTCATGTGCAGGCTACTGACGGTAAGGTCTACATGCCTACACGCACGCACTCAGCCCTGCGATATTGGTGTGTCGTTGTGTGTAAGAATAGCTTGTTGAACCTTCTGTGGCCGACACAAGAAACTTGGTAAGTGTTGGCTCGAATAATTATAATTGATTGAATGTGTAATATATTATTTATCGACTTCGTCTTGGTCGATAAGAGCTATTACAATGTTGACGAAACGGGACCTGCATGGTGGTTAAATATATAACTTTACTACTACGGGAAAGCCATTCATGTCAAATTTAGATGTAAACATGCCGCTTAAGACATGTTAAGATGTGGCCTACTTTATGGTTATCGCACGCCATAGCTGTAGCTAATGGGCAAATTATAAATCATAGATGAAAATAAAGACGTCGCTTCTACTAGTAGTATTTTAATATAATAGGCCTAAGTCTGTTTGTTTTTTGGTCGTGGGGGCTGGGGTGGTGTTCCTCTTGGTTGACTTTATATTATATGATAACCTATAATCTGTGAATATTCTTTTTAAAAATAGTTATATTAAATGTATGATAACCTTCACAACTATTCTAAAACTAGAATATTTTTTTAAGCTGATTAAATTATTCTTCGTGTGGTCTTCGTTATTTATTTTCATATTATTCAAATATTATGTGTAGTAAAATTTAAATTTGGCTTCAAATCTCGATAGAGGTACAGACTAAAACTACAGTTTTCTGTTGTGATTGCGACACATGTTATGGAAAGGAGCGTGTTCGATTTTTAGTTTTAAATCTTAATCCGTGTTATTGGGAATCGAATATTATTTGGAACAGCTGCATCATTTTTTAAAAGGTACACTTATTAACCATATATAATATGTTATAGTCCCTTGCTCATGTGTTTTTAATTTCATCTGTTCATAGGATAAGTTGTAGGGAAAACCGCTTGCGAACATAGTCGAATTTGTGTGTGTTATTTCTGGCAGTCATGAACAGTTTAAAATCAGTTTATCTGGCTATGGTTCGTATTTACAATTAGCACAAGTTGGTGTTGTTATTAAGTCCTTAAAAATTGTGTTATAATTGTTTTTAACAGTTTGTATGAAAAGTGAAAATATGGTGTCTAAGAAAAAAATATTATCAAAAAGGGAGGATCAGTTTTTTAAATTTAAATTTTTTTTTTTTAAAAGGTACCTTTTAATTTTTGTTTCCCCCCCCCCCCCCCACACACACACACTCACACACTTATTCTCCTTTTTTTCTTTCTCATTCCTTGACCATGTGTTCTCGAGTCTTAGCATATCTAATCAATAATCACATAATAAATAATGATGGTCAATGCTGTGTCAGTTGTAGTAACTTATATTGTAAGGCCTGATGTGAATTAATAGTAACCTATATGATTTAAGAAGTTAATATCTCCCAAAGATCATGTCCACAAAAACAATCATAATTATAGTGTGACGTATAAAACAAAAGGGGGAAAATGTGCAAAAAAAAAATGGAATTTAAGTCAAGCTGTGATTAGATTACGCTGATATATTTTTATTTGTACTCAAAATCAAATCAGTCATATCTATAAACCACATCTCTACCACTGATCCCAATTGAAGATACAAAGCCTGGGACTGAATTACAGAAGTTACACAAATCAGTTTTGAAAACTATTATTTTAAAAAATTTTTGTTTTGTTTTATTTTTTTATTTTTTTTTTTTGTAATCGATTGATGAGCTTTACTATTTAGCAAAGCAAAAAAGTTTAAATTTACTAAAACATAAAAAGAAGGTTAATATATTGAAAATATGAAGTGTTCAAACCACATCTCTGATGTTTCCATTGGGGTCTGAGTTGAAAAAATGGACATTGGGTTTCTAACACCTGGAGTCTGGCCATTGGAGTTTTAAAACATCTGATGTCTGGATAATATAGTGGAACACCAGGATTGCTGGAGTCCAGACCGTGAATTTTACACCTGCAGTCTGGATGTTGAATTTCACTAGTGGAGTCTGGATTTCTGAGTTAAACACCTGGAGTCTGGACATCCGAGTTTAACACCTGGAGTCTGGACATCGAACTTAAACAACTGGGGTCTGGATATCAGAGTTAAATACCTTGAGTCTGGAAATCTGACTTAAACATCTGGAGTCTGGGTGTAATCCTAATATGGTTTGGTTCATACACCAAAGCATGACCCCAGCTATATTCTGATTGACAATTTAATCCCGGGGAAACTGATTTTACCAGCATTAAATTAACCTTTCTTATCTGATCAAGACCATCTGTTGTAGTATTGTTTTTGTTTAAACATGCTGCCTTTCATGGGAGCCAGTGGGAGGAGAGGACAATCAGGCAATATATGGTCCCTTTGAAGCACAGCTTTGCCAGCGAGAGAAGTATTGAAGTGGTTCAAGTAAATTAGTCTCTGTTAAGAGGTTTAGAGCAAGTACATTTTAAATGTCCTTTGGCTATGGGGCAGTTATCAGATGTCATTCAATCTGGATTTGAGCAGCTATGACATCCCATGTCAATCCTGACTTGAGCAGCTGTGATGACCCATTTCAATCATGACAGCAGCTATGACAGCCCTTTTCAATCCTGGCTAAAGCAGATCTGACAGCTAATATAATAGAAAGACCATTTCAAACCTAACATGAAAAGACTTATGGAAACTTGACACCACATGGCATGAATGTCATGTTTTCATTCACCTGATAATCCTTTGCTCTGCTCCTCACCGTCACGACCGATTGCAGTGGACTTACTTCTCCTCCTTTCTTTCCCCTTTTGCCTGCATTTAATCTCTCACCTGCTTATTTTCGGTCACAATTCATTTGCTGCCTTCTCAGATACTACTTTTCAGCTAAGTGCTATTTCTGTTTTTAATGTTGTTTGTTTGCTGATGAAGGCTTCCTGCCGACACGTTTATTGTTTTGTTGCATTCCTTTTTTCAGGTTTTCCCATACTTTGTTTCACTCATTTCCTTTTTTGCTAACCTTAATTGCAGTCTATCCCCCTTATTACCACATGAACAGCTAAGACGACTCATTTCAATCCTGACTTGGGCAGCAATGATACCTGTCTGTCCAATTAAAATGATAAAAATGCAGGTACAAGATTTATTCTTGCCACAGGAAAATATCACCTTGTGCTTTGTAAGAAGAAAAGTTATGTGGATTAATAAATGTTTATTTTTTAAGTCTCTTAACCGGTAGATTGGTAAAAAGGCACAAGGACCATGGCAGAATGTTCCACTGTTTGATATGTTTGACTTATTTCTGGTGACACTAAGTCCTCATCATAAATTTACGTTTCAGTGCGGTTGTTTCTTTAAAAGTGATGGGATCACATAATTAGAAGCAGCGTTTGTCCACTGTCCTTTAACCCCACATCTCTACCAGTCGTTGTTTGTGACGTACTCTTACTGTCTCTCTACCACCAATTCTCTCCCACCTCCTCTGTATCTCTCGCTCCCTCCTGCTCTCCCACCCACTGATCCACTCTCCCACGCACTGATCCACTCTCTCATCCATCCTCTCTCTCTCCCACCCACTCTCTCCCCCACCGCTGTCTCTCTCATATCGTGTCTATCTCTCCCTCTCTCTACTAAGCCAGGCTCTCCACATCTTGGTCCTCATGATGAATGGTCATTTTTATCAGAACCATATGATGGTTTTGATAAATTTCGTATACAAGAATGCTTGTGAATGCCAATGTTCTGAACAGAAGTGCCGCCGTTCTGCACGAGGATGCGAACTCCCTGTATCAATGCTAGTAATACGTAAAAGTGCTTACATTAAACGTCAGTTCACACGATCAAATTACTTCAAATTTGCGTCAAATTTGTGCATGAACGCATTATTTTATGCGTGGTTTCTTTTTGTTTTTTTTGTTGTTGATATAAATGAGAATTTGATCTAATAATAATTTGAAATGTGTGACAAGGCTAGTCTATACCATAAAAAAAAATCGCATCAAATGTACGAATGATAATTTGAAAGGACTTTGATCGTGTGAACTGAGCTTCAGTATGTGGTTCCACCGGTCGTTCTCTCGTGTTTAGATAATTAACTGGTTTCAACTTGTCACCCAAGCATTCAGACCAGCTTGATGTTCATTCAGAAAACCGATTGGTCCGTGTTTTTATACGTCATTGTTTCAGTCAGTTCCCGCTCTCTAGTTTAAATCCTAGAGATTCACTCTCTTGTAAAGCGTCCTTGTCTTGTGTAGCTTCACTTTCTTGTATACCGTCCCTGTCTTGCATAGCTTCACTTTCTTGTATATGTTCACTTTGTTTTATATCATCCCTGTCTTGTATAGCTTCACTTTCTTGTATATGTTCACTTTCTTGTATATGCTCACTTTCTTGTTCACGCCCTACCTGTTTACACCGACCCCTTGATGTAAATGGAGGAACAACTGGGGCTATTTAAAATTAAAATGATTATTTGAGTCTCTTTATACGGCGATTTTATTCACTGTATTATCAAATCGGCTAAAAATAAATTGTTGTAATCATTGTAATCTTTTGCTCAAGATAAGCAAAGGCAACTGTCCCCCCCCCCCCCAATAAATTATATATATATATATATATATATTATAATATAAATCCAGAGACAAGACGTGCCTTTTTAATGCGCTTCTCTATCAGTAGATCTACTACTATAACATTGGCCTGGCGCAGTGTTGCCATAATAACACTATATGGTTACAAGGAGGGCGTTTACATTTTAAAAAAAATTAGTTATGTCTAGTGAGTCCTCATTACCGCCCAATACTTAAATGTTATCCCATTTGGGGATAGTTGACCCCGCTTCGCTGACCACTGCATTGATTGCTTGCACTTGTCATTTTAAGAAAAGTCTGCTGCTGTTATTTTTATCCTCTAAGTCTAATGCTACTTTTTAAAAAAAAATCTCTTACATAAAAACAACAAGCAAACACCAAACAACTGAAATGCTGTGAAATAAGTGTCCGGGTAGCGTGCAGGGACCCGGACACGGCGGGTCACGTGGTCTCAGTATCCGGCGACTTTACCGATCTGATTGAATTGCCAATAAAACCGGTTCCAAACTCGGCCCAATCCTGGGCTCTAAGTTGACGACGTCACCAGTGTCCAGTGTTATCGATTTTGATTTCCGGCCGGTGCTCAAACTCAAACCTCCAGCCTTGAAGTCTTCTTGTTAAAATGCTTGACAACCCCCCCCCTCTCCCCCGGGCCTCACCTTCCCTGCACTTTTATCACCGGGGTTGGGGCATAGCTCTGCGTCACGTCAAGTTGTGTTTTTTTTTAACCTTTAAAAGATAGGCCAAGATATTCTCCCCCGGGCCTCACCTTCCCTGCACTTTTATCCCCGGGGTTGGGGCATAGCTCTGCGTCACGTCAAGTTGTGTTTTTTTTTAACCTTTAAAAGATAGGCCAAGATACTTTTAAAAAAAAAAAAAATATTTTTCACGAAGAATAGTCTAAGTGTTCACCGGTCACGTGAGATTTGTTTACTCAATTTAAAAAAAATCAAAACAAACAAAACAAAACAACTTCATGCACGAATGGTTAGATTACATGTCTGCTTCGAGCAGTGCTTCTCATCATTTCTAACTTTTGATTTGAACATATTCCCCCCCCCCCAAAGCAACTAATTTATCTATGGAAAAAGTCACAGTGCTAATAAAGACTAAGTGGAACGCCAAAAAAAAAAAAAAAAAAAAAAAAAAAAAAAAAAAACACGAAAAAAAACAACCCCGCACTTGGAAACAAACGCATAGGCAGGTCCGCCGTAAGAAAGCGAACTAAACAAAATGCGCAAATTATTATTAAGCGCACACGAAACATGGGCACACGGCAACATGCTTAGTTGGTCAGTGTGTAGAGAGATTATGCGAAATGTGGGTGGAATCCACGTTTTTTGTGTTTTTAAATGTCTTAACGTGACTATAAAAAAAAAAAAAATGTATCACAAATATATTGTTTGTTGGCCAGTAAATTAACATGGATAAATATAATTATAATGCTCGTAAAATTTACTCAGTGCGTCGTGTTCATCTCTCCGACATTTTTCATTCATTTCCAAGCGCAATTTCGAAGGATTGCGTCATACCAAGACCTCGTGATGAAATGGGCCATGGGAGTCTGCACGCGCGCCGGTAGGACAACAAGGGCACAGGCGTCGCTGCAGACGATAACATAAACACACAACACTCAGCACTCAAGTAAAAGTTCTCAAACTTGCTGAGTGCTGTGGTGCTCGTGGGGTTTAAAAGGGGGGGGGGGGTGTTGGGATGCCAACCCGTGGACACTTGGTTGCTGCATGCAATCCCGGGAGGGGAGTGGCATCGCTGCAGACGATAACATAAACACACAACCCTCAGCCCTCAAGTAAAAGTTCTCAAACTTGCTGAGTGCTGTGGTGCTCGTGGGGTTTAAAAGGGGGGGGGGGTGTAGTGATGACAACCCGTGGACACTTGGTTGCTGCATGCAATCCCGGGAGGGGCGTGGACCAGGAAGAGAGCACTCTTCCAGTAAATTCTTGTGTTTTGAATGGTTTTGATTTAAGCAACATAGTAGCCTGTTTAATTATGTCACGGTGACCCTATTTCGTGGTATAATACGATGGGTGGTGGGGCATGACAGATCACCCCCCTGAGCACCCCAACTAGCTTGTTCTATCATTTGGCATCTAGGGTTATCATCACCAAGGCAAGGAAACACCACCTGGTATTTCTAGTTTCAGGAGTAACATACTTAAATAAATATTTAATATGTATACAGTATACATTTTTAAGGATGTTGTACACAGCGAACTATCACAGCTACCCTTGATATTTGTTTGATCCCACCACAACAGGGAAAAGGAACATGTGCTCTACCAAATAATCTAGGCTACTGAAAATAGTATGCCATTATGTTATACTTCATTATCATTGCTTTTCAGCTCATAAGAATTTTTATTTTAAAAAAAAAATATTTTTTTTATTTTCTACAATCTGATCTAATTTTTTTTCCCCATTTATATTTTCAGTTTATATTTGAATTTAAACCAAGAGTTTTAGTTTTACAAACAAAAATTCTCTCCTGCACTTGTAATTTGAATTTGTTTTCCCTTGATATTGTCAGTTTACATTTGTATTGAAGGAATAGTTAAGCACACACAAATTCTCTCCCTGCATTTGTCATTTGAAATTGTTTTCCCTTTCCAGCAAATAAAGGCCTCATCAATAACGAAGATGAAAGTGATGATCATTGGGGCCACGGGTCCCACAGGACTTCTCTTGATCAGCGAGGCTCTAGCCAGGGGCTACGAGGTGGTTGCACTGGTCAGGAACCCGGAGAAGCTGAACATCATACACGATAAACTAAAGGTTAGTTTACTTTCAGTTATAGTGTCTTCCAGGAGGCGGGGTTCCCTGATCTGTCAATCAATGCACAGAGTCAGACAGTGAAATAGAATAGACATAGGTTACACTTGTGTAACATCAGTTTAATACACAACTAGGTGTGTGCTACCATAATGTATCATCAATGCTTAATTTAATTTGACAAATATTTATTTGAAATGATCTTTAATGTGATAAAAATTAAGATATGAAGTCTTGCTTTCTGCTGAAAGTTTAGGTGTCTACAAGGCTGTCCTAGTAGACGTTGATGTTGGTGATAGAAATGCAATACACACTCAAAAAAGCAACTAGTTGTTAAGAGATAATTGAAAGAATTCAAAAATATGACGAGCACATTTTTTTTTTCTATCTGTATATTTCATTCCTCAGAGTTCTTAAATGTACAATTACTTGGACAGGATCTTATCATGTTGAAATAACTCACATATGTCCCCCACATCTATGAGTGGTATATTACCTACTTTAAGAGGTTAATATCTTTGGCCTGCGCACAGGACACATACAGCTTAATTCTCACCTTAACCGCATAAAACCAAACCCCGACGTGGCCTCACGTGGCCCCTCTGCAGACATCCAAATGAGACAGTAACACATCACACCTTTCACTTCAGGACTTAGACCATAACTACCTACCAAAAATACCAGAGCTTATCTTAAACCAACAGCTTATATTCAAACAAAGAACAGATGCTGATAGTTTACCAACTCTTCACCGTGGCACCAGGTCGAAGGGCACAAGCCCAAACGGCCACTGCATCTGAATGGTGATATTTTCCCACTTATTTGTGATACACTTATTCTCAGGTGGTACAGGCCAACATATTAAAATCAGATGAGATCGCTGAGAATCTGAAAGGCTGTGACGCTGTCTTGTCTGCCGTTGGCGGTCGGCCAGGGATCATGACCCCGTGTGATGTCTACTCCAAGAGTGGAGAGGCTGTGGTCAAGGCCATGAGAGATGTAGGGATCAAGAGGCTTATAGCCATCACAGCTTGGGGCACTAAAGGTATAGAGTATGATCATTTACTATGTTGAGATGGGATAATTTACTAGGTAGACATAAAATAGAGATGAAATATTTTATAAATTACAATGTAGACATAGGGATATTTATTATGAAGAGATGTCATAATTTATTAAGTAGAGATGAAATAATTTATAATGTAAGAGTGAAATAATTTATTTTGTAGAGGTTAATATTTTATTACCTACAGAAGAAATAACTTATAATTTAGAGATTAAATAATTTATTATAGTGTTGAAATAATGTATTATGTACATGTGAAATTATTTACTACTTAGCTATGAAATAATTTACGATGTAGAGACGTGATAATTTACGATACTAAAAATACAGTTAAAATGCATTTTCTGTAGCTATTCACCAATAACTGAATAAGAAGCGATGATATATCAGAGATGTCTCCTGAGTTTTATTTTTATTTTTAATTTATTTAATTTTATTTCATGCAAGTCTTCATCATTGTAAACTAAATGTACTCAAACTTAAAATTGAAAAAGCGTGTGAAGGGTTCTTTGGTAAATGTACTTATGGTGGAAGATGAAAGAATTTGTTGGTGTGGAAGTCTTAGAAAAAGGTATAGAGTATTTAAGCTGGTGTCAGAATGGTAAACATTCATAAATGGGTTTAAAAAAAAACAAAAACCTTTTATCAATCATTAGTCCACTCAGAAATAGTCATTAAGATATAATCCAAATTAGTCGATGTGCTGATTTGATGATGGGTCAAAGTTGATGTGAGGCCCCCATGGCGATAAGTATCTCAGATGGTGATGGATGACAGCTGATGTGAGGCCCCATGATGGTAAAATCTCAGATGGTGATGGGTGACAGCTGATGTGAGGCCCCATTTTGGTAAATGGCTCAGACGGTGATGGGTGAAAGCTAATGTGAGGCATCAAGTGGCTCAGATGGTGATTGAAAACGTGAGAATCCCCCCCTGATGATAAATGTCCTAACTCTCAGTTCTAACTCTGCCATCCCAGATGACCCTGACCTTCCATTCATCTGGAGATGGGTTCTCAAACCATCATTCCTGAGAAACATTGTCAAAGACATGGAGGTATTTGAAGACTTCCTGACTAAAGACTGCGCTGACATCAACTACACAGTTGTCAGACCTCCAAAACTTACAAATAATCCATCAGAAGGTAAGCTTAGGAACTAGCAGCCTTTACATTTATCAATCTTAGGAACCCTAGCATCATCCACATTAATGAAGCTTTTAATGGTTTCTTAACATATTTAAGAAAGTTTTTTCTTAGCATGTTCATTAAGAAATTTTTAAAATTTTCATTGGTGTTTATTATTTTCAAACCGAATGGAAAATTTTTCCACTTCATAAGACTTTGTCGGGTGGGTGGGTAGAGCAGTTTGGCATTTTTCATATCAAATAACAATATGAATCTTAATTTTTTTATTTTATAAGATGAATTCAGTGACTGTGCCGTTTTTATTATTGTTTTTTTGATGGGGTGTCATATGGGCGTGGCACATGGGGGCGGCACATTTTGAAAAGATGTTATTAAATATTATTTTAATGGCGTATCAACTGTTACCATTTCACTGAAATTTCTGCTGGTCAACAAAAAATTATCTAGAAGTTTCATTTGATTCTTTATAACAAAAATGACTGGCAATGGATTTATTTATTTGATGCACCTTTGTTTCATGTTCTGACAGAAACTCTGTGGCCAGAGTCAAAGATGTTCACCTCTATTTAAAATTTGCCTTTCTGCCTTAGTGTAGATTTGAAAATTAACCTGGTGAAGGTAGGCCAAGGTGCCACTCCCGCTCCCTCCTCCCCTGCCCCATCTTTCCCCCCCATCATAAAATTTTTTTTTTTCATGTCTACGTTTCACATCAGATTGTTATGCTTATGTTTGAATAGGTCAAAGTCAACCAGAAACTGTGTGAGATATTTTATGTGTCACTGTCAGGCAAAAGGCACCCTTTACGATACACGTAGCCAAAACCTTATTTCAGTAATGAAGTGCATGTCATGAACCATATCTTACTGAAATAATGAAGTGCCTACATAATATTGATGAAATGAACAATCAGTAGGTACCCATAACTTGTTTCACATATCTCCTTCTACCTAACCTGATTGCAGTCTCTCTCTCCTCCCCCCCCCCCCCCTTTTTTTTTTCTTCCCCATATTATCATCATGATCATTAGATGTCATTAATTATTGTTATGATTGCATCTTGAATCTTGACGGGATGTTCCAGGTGAGAAAGTTCTAGTCCAGGAGGGACTTTGTGTTGTCGATGCCCCGAATTCAATAAGCCGCCAGGACCTGGCCAAGTTCATGCTGGACTGTGTGACCTCACCAGACTACATCAGGAAGATGGTATCAGTGGCTGGGTCCGGCCCAGCACCCAAGAAATGAGTGGATCAAAATCTTAGCTCTGTGGGTAGAACCCAATGGATAAATTAGCTCTCTGATGATGTGGATAATCGATGTGTCGGGTGGGAGGGGTGTATTCTTCCTCTAGGCTTCCATTACAAAATAGATAAAATTTAAGATTAGCAAAATCGTTTAAGTTTAAGTGACCAAATAACTCTATGTACTGGAAACTGAAGAAGATTAAACTTAATGCTTTTACTTGACTACCTAGAAACTCTACAGCAAAAAAATAAATTAAAAAGTAAATAGATCAATAAGAACTATAATGATGGAAAAGATCTATGAATTTATACATCGTGTAAATGAGTCATTAAATTCAATAATGTAATGACTGAACCAAATTGCTTCTTATCTTTAGGGTGACTTGCTCATTCTTATATATAGGGTGACTTGCTCATTCTTATCTATAAGTTGATTTGCTTAATAGCTTTCTATGTAAACCTGTTTATTGATTTTGAAAATTGAAGTCCTTTAAAAAAAAAAAATTCATATTCAGGAATCATATCCTTAAATGGAAGTTCTCTTCAGTAAGTGCGCATAACATGCACATTTCTCGTACAACCAAGATAAATATACTTATTAGGCACCACAGCCATGTTGTTAACAGTTGTACGTGATACCTGCAATATCAGTATCCTTTTATGTTTCATTCTATTTTTTAATTGTTATTTTTTCGCATTAAAATTTATGATAGTTTTTCAAATCGTGATTTATGATGATTTCTCAAATTGTTATTTATAATAGTCTTTAAACTTGTTTTTCATAATGGAGCAACAAATTTAAAAAAAAAAAAATTTTGTGTTGGGGGACATTTATATTTATTTGCCTTGATGCTGACCACATTGATCATTTTCTAGCCCATGAAAAATCTCACGATTGTGCTCCTGGTAAGTTATTGCTCAGTAAGGCTATATGATTATTTCTACATTCATGAAGCTTTTTTTAAACCCTATGAACATAAAGCAACCTGTTACACAAATCAGTAACACTTGAGCCAATGCTGTAAGCTGGAACAGGCTGCTTAATCCTATGATGAAATTCACAGGACTTTTTAATACTTTTAGAGCGGGACTTGGCAGTGGATATTATTGGCTATGTAATGTTCGATACGTTCTTCATTTACCACCTTTGTGTGCCATGTGCTCTCACATGAAACGATGGTGAACTATTAGTCTTTTTAAGGCGTGGGCGGATATTGAGAAAAAATTTGTAAAAAGCCCTGAAAAGTTTGTTTCGAAAAAAAACCCCAACGTTTTGCAAGACACTTTTATAAGTTACAGCGATGTAAAGGGCCACAACCTCAGCAATTTAATGAAACAGGTGACTCATGAATGCGCAGGTGACTGCCAAATAAACACTTATTGAAATATCAGTTTTGACACTGCAAATGACCATTCACGTTGTTACTGTCACATTGTCATGTTTATGTGCAATGAGTTTTCCCAACTGAATGTTAAATTAGTCAAGGAATATAGTGAAGTATAAACAAAAAAAAGGCCTTGCAAAACAATGATGGGCAGCAGCGGCTGGAAGCTGAGTTCAAAAATTAATTCGCATAAAGTCCATCAAAATTTCCAAGTTGTGCATTTATTGATTCTTAAGATTTACAGCAGTTATTGATTTTCAAGGATTTAGGCATCAGAGCATTGGTGGTGGTTAAAAAAAAATAGTTCCGATATAATCCTGACTCATTTTGTTGCATGCTCACCGGCTATGTCAAAACTGAATGTCATATTTTTCTGTTGACGTAGCTAGGGTTAGTGCGGCCTGGGCCTGAAAATATCCCCCGCCCCCCTCCACAAAAAAAACAAAACAACATTTGCCTCTAGCCCAACATGCCACCCCTCGATATACATATAAAGTGCCACCTGGGGCTGATTGCCCCCTTCCCATGTGCCCTACACAGTGGTTACGCTACACCGAAGCTCCGGTAAACAGTTGGACAATATTGTTAAACTGCCGTTACCTGCATTTTAATTTCCACCCCCCGCCCCGTCCTATTCTTTATTCATTCTAAGGGATTAGGATTAGTTTTCACTTACCCCCATACATTAAAGAGTTGGAAATCAATTTCATTTTCAGCTGAGCTCAGGTTGTGTGTTAAGTTCCCTATCGCGTGATGTTTAATTTAACATTGAGTTATGAGTCATCCATCTGTGAACAGTTATTTTTAAGCCATCCTTTCCATAAGAAGCTGCGTCGTTTCAGTTCAATAAATAACATAAATGTGTATTATTTTTAATTGGAATTATGACGCAATTTTTTCCCCTTTTTTTAAAAGGTAAACATTGAAATATTTCAAGCCTGTATACTATACTGTTTATTATATCTTTGTTTATTTGATGTTGATGTTGGAGACATACGGTGAAGTAACAGCGGGTGTTGGATTTGATGTGAAAACTGTTGGGGCATCCATAAATGATGTCACCCATCTGATGGAGGGCTTTGGGGGGGGGGGGTGTGACAGATTTGTGATGAGGTTGTCAAACTTTTGTGACTAATTTCGTGGCAATAAGGGAATGGGTTTGGTGGATAAAAATCATCCAATGTAGTTTGATGTCATTTATGGATGGCCAAACCATATCATACATTGAATGTCTCTGCTGTCTTATCATGCATGGGGTGGGGGTGGGGGGGGGGGGCGTCCTACTGCAAGGGAAGTGCCCAATGAGCCACTAGAGAAATGTTTGAAGTTGAAGATAGTCTTAACCCCCCCCCCCCCCCCCCCCCCCCCCCCCCTTTTTTTTTAAATNTGAAACGTGTGTTATTGTTAAAAAATGAATGCATGTACTACATCAGGTTGTAGATGTTCAGCTTGTACTACATCAGGCTGTAGACATTCAGCATGTAGGCCTAAATCAGGCCGTAAATATTCAGCATGTACTACATCAGGCTGAAGTTATTCCTATATATTGTTTTACCACAAACAACCCCCCCCCCCCAAAAAAAAAAAAACCAACAAACAAACAAACAAACAAACAAACATCAACAACAAAACACCTCACTCCCCTTATCGATCTTGATCCAACTTGTCAAGAGGAGGTGGATATGTTCAAGTGACACCTGTTTCTTTTTGAATTAGCTACCACTCTTTCCACTTGCTTGTCATATCAAGGCGGGAGTCAAGATTTCTTTTTCTTTCTTCTATTTCTATGAGAATTGTTACCAAAAATAGGTTTGTTAATTTCTCAATTTGTTTGTACTTATTGTGCCAATGTAATGCATATCTTTATATTAATAAACTTTTACCGAAACTATCGAAAACAGTTCGTTTTTTAAAATCATTTATACTAACTTCGCTTTTGTGTGTTCAGGACAAAATGTTGAGGCGGCTAATAGACTGACTTCCCGTCAACCTATCGAGCTGAAACTTAGCACAAATGCTCGTTGCCGATGAAAACACATCCTCTAAAATATTCAGCCCCACCCTCAATCCCCAAAAAAATCAGTTTTTCCTGTTTTTCAAGGGGAAGATGTAAAAAATATGAGGCCACTGATTTCATGAAATAAAATTCCACATAACTGCGCTAATGGAGATTATCTCTTATCTTTTTTTAAAGTGTGCAAATGCGTTTGATGCGTAATATTTTCATGTATTATTTTTCAGAAATAGTTCAAATAAAATCGGATGTGTAAAAGCCGGTTGGACATTAGAATATTAACATAAAATAAATTAATAAGAAATTCATTTAAAGGATTTATAAGAAAAACTTAGGTTTTTTTTTGAAAGGGGTTTTCCAGTTAAAAATTAATCATGAAAATGGCTTTGACTGTTTTAAAGACAAGAAATATAGGCCTACTTCTCAATCAAACGGCAGTGTAGTTATAAATAAATCATAGAAATTTTAGTCACTGGAGAAAAACATGGCAGAATGTGACTGGAGAGAACATGATTGAAAAAAAAGTGACGGTGAGGATATGATTGAGAGAACGTGACTAGTGAGAGAGGAGAGAGAGAGAGAGAGTAAAAGATCTCATTGAATGATTAGCAGGTCATCATGGAAATAAGCATGTACAGTAATAAATTGAATCCGTTGTGAATGAACAAGTTGTGTTAAGGAATTGTGGAATAAATAATTATTTTATCAGATATTTACTCTATTCATTGTATACTATTACTGCATACTATTACCCAGTGGCGTAGCTAGAGGGGCGGGGGGACGGACCGAACCGGGTGACACCACCTCAGGGGGTGATACCAAACCGAAAATTGTGTATATACAGAGCACACACTGCTCGGTCTAACCGAATTTCATAGGATAACCGATCACACGTAAAATTTCCACATGTGTAACAAATTCAAAATGCGCGCTTCATTAAAAGTTCAAGGAGGATGCGTCAGAAATGAGGTGAACCTATTAATTAGGTCAGAAATTAAATCGTTTTGACAATGATTCAACGCCGATTGAAATGTTCGGTGACTTTCGTAAGTGACATTCTTATGCCGAAAATGCTTCCTGTATTACATTTTTCGGTACTCTAGAGAGAATATTTTCCTTCTCTGCTGCACCCATTAGTCGATTGAATGTCTTAATTGAACACAATGGAATGTCGGTGAAAAGAATGTCAACAACACATTGGGGTGCTCATCACGCTGCTATTAAGACAGTGAAAGATAAGTTCGATGATTGTGTGGCGGTGATTGAAGCTCTCTGTGATCCTCTCGAACAGTTGGATACAAGAGGTACAGCCCAAGGTCTTTTACATGCTGTCTGTGATTTCAAGTTTATCTGCTGCCTTTACCTTTTGGCTGATCTACTTGAGGAGGTCAATCTTACACAGCAGTATCTGCAGACGTTAAAAGAGTTCTTCCTTTGATGCAGCCCCCAAAATGTTACTTGTGGGTTGTTTAAAAGTGTGTTTTTTAATAAATATAGGTCCCCTGTTTTGCTTTACGTAAGTTTAGTACGGCCACTAGGGCTCTGTCTAGGGTAGGATTATATACGTTAGATTAGTACGGCCACTAGGGCTCTGTCTAGGGTAGGATTATATACGTTAGATTAGTACGGCCACTAGGGCTCTGTCTAGGGTAGGATTATATACGTTAGATTAGTACGGCCACTAGGGCTCTGTCCAGGGTAGGATTATATACGTTAGATTAGTACGGCCACTAGGGCTCTGTCTAGGGTAGGATTGTATACGTTAGATTAGTACGGCCACCAGGGCTCTGTCTATGGTAGGATTGTATATGTTAGATTAGTACGGCCACTAGGGCTCTGTATAGGGTAGGATTATATACGTTAGATTAGTACGGCCACTAGGGCTCTGTCTAGGGTAGGATTATATACGTTAGATTAGTACGGCCACTAGGGCTATGTCTAGGGTAGGATTATATACGCTAGATTAGTACGGCCACTAGGGCTCTGTCTAGGGTAGGATTATATACGTTAGATTAGTACTGCCACTAGGGCTATGTCTAGGGTAGGATTATATACGTTAGATTAGTACTGCCACTAGGGCTATGTCTAGGGTAGGATTATATACGTTATATTAGTACGGCCACTAGGGCTCTGTCTAGGGTAGGATTATATAGTTAGATTAGTACTGTCACTAGGGCTATGTCTAGGGTAGGATTATATACGTTAGATTAGTACTGCCACTAGGGCTATGTCTAGGGTAGGATTGTATACGTTAGATTAGTACGGCCACTAGGGCTCTGTCTAGGGTAGGATTGTATACGTTAGATTAGTACGGCCACTAGGGCTCTGTCTAGGGTAGGATTGTATACGTTAGATTAGTACGGCCACTAGGGCTCTGTCTAGGGTAGGATTGTATACGTTAGATTAGTACGGCCACTAGGGCTCTGTCTAGGGTAGGATTGTATACGTTAGATTAGTACGGCCACTAGGGCTCTGTCTATGGTAGGATTGTATACGTTAGATTAGTACGGCCATTAGGGCTCTGTCTAGGGTAGGATAATATTTCCTAATTAAGTACTCTGAACTAATCTCACTCCACACTCACTCTAACCTTCAATGACACTCTCACTAGCTCTCATTTCTATGAATACTATCACTATACTAAGAACCACTGGTGGATCAGCCCACAAATAGATATCTAATTATAAACAGAAAATTAACGACACACATACACATATAAAGCAATGACTGATTTTGCTGTCTTAATACTTCATACAATTTTTCGATGGACTAAGTTCGGATTGGCGGTCTGTCCTCTGTAGGTAGGTAAGGTCCACATCACACACACACTCTTACACATGCAGCAGCCTTGTTGGTTTGGCCTCTCTCTCTCTCTGGTCACTGGTCACTGCGATGTAACAGGCCTCTGGTCACTCGCACTGCGACGCGCTAGGGGTAGACTCTTTAACGGTGGGCACACACACACACACACTAAGCCCTCTCACTGGTCACTGCCCCGTCTCTGCTACTATGGTCAATCAATTGTCTTTGTTCTTGTTTTACTGTGGACTTATTTTAACAAGAAGAAATCTGTCGGTGGAGGGTGGTGGCGCCATGAGTTTACCGCACCGGGTGACACCAACCCTAGCTACGCCACTGCTATTACCATTTTAATATTATGATTTTTTTTTGGGGGGGGGGGGGGGGGGGGTATGAATCAAATCTGTTGTGGATATATTAAGATAAAAATGTTTTTTTCTCACTTTTTAAAGAAGACCACCACCCCCCTCCCCCGAAAAAAATAAATAAAATAATTCAAAGGTCTTCTAAGCGTGACGAGGCATGACATGTTTAATAACTTACAGTGACGTCATGCGCTCTTTGACCTAGATCATGGCTCAAACTTCAAGATTGGCGTATTCTCAATGTCAACTACCGACCTGAGACCTGGTAGTCGCATTAACTGAGGAAGGAGGATCAGAGGCGAAACAGGAAGAAAACCAAAGAGATTCGAACCCGGTTCTTAGAGTTTGACCTGCAAGGAATATGAATTTTTAAAGAATGCACCACGGGGGCAACTACATGGGGTTGGGGAGGAAGCAGTTGCTCCCATTGTGAGTTGAGGGGAGGATAAAATCCACGCCCCCGTATGCTTTTGAATTTTTTTTTTTTGGTAAGAAAAAATTAATGTGGGAATATTAAAAAAAAATACAAATATTTAAAAATAAAATTATACATATATTTGTTGTACGGTTGGAGGGGGGGGGGATGATTGTTAGGGGGTAGAAAAGTATAAAATTTTGGGGCTTGGGCGGGGGGTATTGAAAACTGTTCCTAAAGAAAAAAATAATGAGAGAATATTAAAAAAAAATACAAAGAGTTAAAAATAAAATTATACATATATTGGTTGTACGGTTGGAGGGGGGGGGGATGATTGTTAGGAGGTAGAAAAGTATAAAATTTTGAGGCTTGGGCTGGGGGTATTGAACACTGTTCCTCTGGTATGGAAGACACAGCCATCCAGCAGCTCGATCAAACTAGGAATTTTAACATCTAAGCGGAGAATAACAATTATAGGCTTACTAAAACTCATGTTTCGGCAATAAGTGGGGTAAAAAAGGGGAGTGGGGGTGGATAGACTCTCCTTATATACCGTAGGGTCGTTTAAAAAGTGATAAAAACACTATTTTAAAGGAAAACTGCATCGACAAAGACGCAAGGGCCTAGATGTTAATGAACGAAATGTGTATCTGCCTCTATGAATGGGCGATAGATCAGTCATAATGGCTCAGATACATAAATAGTCAGTGCTTGTTTAGTTTGATCAACGGCTA